TTATTATCAAAAGCATTATTCTAAAAGGATATTTTGTTGGCTCATTGCACAAATCACATTTCAATGTTATGATTATAAAATTAACAAAATTAAATCTTATACATTTTACAGATACTAAAACCCATCTCTCGCAGTATTACTTATTGTTAGTGATATTTTCATTGCAGTGAGTACGCTGTGGCTGGTTGTCACGATATCGAATATATACGGATAAATAAAGAAGCGACGCAATTACACCGCGATGCTATCACGACGAAAGGCTTTCGTTTTCGTGATATTGTCTCTGGGGGGGGGGGGGGATTATAATTTTTCCCACTTTTTGTCAAAATCTACAAACATAAATCTTTACGTAATGTGTTACGATAATAGATTTAAACGATAATAAATAATAGATCTAAACGATAATAAATAATAGATCTAAACGATAATAGATATCAGCGGCGGGCATAAACAGGACGTAGGCTGATAAAAATTTTCAAAATGCACTACAAACCACATACTTAAAGAGATTATCATTCTATATTTCTATGCATCAATGATTCTGTATATAAGCTGACCGATCACCGAACTGATTCAGTTTGAATTTCACTGAGCTGACTACAGGTGAGGATACGAAAGCTTCATCTCTATATAGTTTAAAAGTATTTTTCTAATTTCTCAATAATTCTACATATATTTTATAAAACAGGAAATCTCTCAAGCAATTAATAAAAAATGGGAAAATTCATCGTGCTTCTTTGCTTTACGCTTCTCGCAATGAATTTGGTCATGGCCTGCAAAAAACTCGGAGCACGCGTAAGTACCATTGTATGATATTATGTTTTGAACTGTAATATATCTATGTGTATCTCTACATTTTTTATTAATTTAAATTTGTTTCGTGAAAACCATTAAATTAATTAATATAACTTAATAGTATACTTTTTAAAAATATGATGGACTCTATATATGTAATTTATAGATGACATAAATTGAAAATTTAACAAATGTAGTGAGATTTTTATACACTTGATTGTTATTTATATATTATATATTTATGTATATGTATATACATACATATATATATATGTGTGTGTGTGTGTGTGTGTGTGTGTGTATACATATACATAATATTTTAATCCGGTGTATTAAACATGTTTTCTGTATGTAAGGAAAACGTTTCATCTCTTTCCTCCAAGTTATACACAATTAAACAGAATAAAGAAAGAGTAAAATATATTGCTGTATAAAGTGTTACATTTTGAATATTTTAAGTAGTGAGTAATGACAAGATTTGAATATTGATTACAGGGAACAATTTTATAAATGTGTGAATAATACGGATTAAGTCAGAAGTGGCAAAAGTGCATTGAGTTTAAGTTTAAATAATTAAGTTATGTAATACGAAAGACATCGTGCAAAATAATAATCTCGCGTAATCTTTTTCAGTGCAACAATGACGCTGAATGTTGCAAGAGATTGCAGTGTGATCGATGGGGTGATGCTTATCGATGCACCGGGCTCGGTGCACTGGAAGATCGGCCATTGACGTCGCAAGACCAGGGGGACCATGGGGCCCCGGAGGCCCAGCAGGCGCAGGAGCAGAATGGCCACAACATGAACCTGCCCCTGCCCTATAATCATAAATGATAGCTCGACCTGGACTTTGTTGCGTGGAACTATGATTTAATCTTGACTGATTTAAAAATATGTGAAAATTTACACAATAATTGGAAATATATACTTGCTTAATCATTACCCAGCAATATACTCTTTATGTCTCAATGACTAAAAACCCTTCTTCACATTATCAACCAAATTGAAGTCGATTTGTTGAACAGCAAAAATAATTCATTTTATATGATATTTTTATAAAAATAAGAACGTAGGGGAGACCGGGGCTCGTTGGCACCGTTTTCACAATTTCGGCACTTGAGCTTTTAAACAACTAATTTTCATGATTAAACAGTGCTAATATGATAGATAAAACCTTTCTCTACATTTTCATGCCAGGAACGCTCCTGTATACTGTATAGTTTCTTTGTAATAAGTGAAATACGAACATGCTGCATTGTAGCCAACTTGCCGATAGTAGGGTAAGTTGGCTATGCGACAAAAGTCCACGTTAAATTAATGAAAACGTAATAGAAACACAAAACGGGTAACAGATATGTACTTCTTGATAAAGATTGTATCTTTTAAAGTTATTTCTTAATAATCGAATAGCAAAATGCTGTTGTAGAAGAACAATTGTAAACTATTTTAGATGTAGTTTTCTTTAATATAAAAATATTAATATAAATATATATCTAGCTTCTATCAGCATTGACAACATTGTAGGTAGCAAATCACATGCTCGCACAGATCTCACGCGCGCGGCAACAAATCAAGCTAAGCATGCCTTGATATGAGCCAACATACCCCATCCCTACATATGTTTAATTTCAGTCATTTTCTTGCAATAAATTACTGTTGTTTCTCAAAATGACATGTCGTATAGTAATAGAAACTTTTCTTCTAACTAATAATTCGTCACTTTAATTTACTTCTCAAGCTGAAAAGCATTAATTCGATATTTTGAAACGCTCGAAAATTTACTTGCCACCTCTTGAATTAGAGTTTTCTCTTTTTCTATTGTAATACTTGTTTGATTTAAATAAAACTTTGGGAAAAGCACCTATATCATAAAAGAGACGTTTTGTGACAACTTTTCCATTATTTCTTTCGCTATAAATACATAAACGGAACGCATTGCCAACTTGCCTCTTGTGCCAACGAGCCCCGGGTTCCCCTACTCTGGTATTTATATTAGAAACAAGTATACATATAACAGCAGAATAAACGATAACGAAAAAAAAGGGAAAACTCTACGTCTTCTTTGCAAACCTGAAGGCAGCGTTCGATAAGGTGAACAGAAAGAAACTATGAAAAGTTCTGAAAGAACGCGGTATATAAATAGGAAACTAATCGACAGAATAAAAGATATTTATGAGGAAATGATCAGAATATATACCTTGGAGTTCGCAGACGACCTAACGATGATGGCGGAGACGGAAAGAGAAATGAAGAAAATGCTGAAAAACCTAGAAAGATATTTAGAGGAAAAAGAACTGACTTTAAACGCAGATAAATCCAAAATGTTAGTCTTTTGTAAGAAAGAGAGAATTAAACAAGAAAGGAACTGGAAATGGAAGGACAACAAAATAGAAGAAGTCAAGGAGTTCAAATATCTGGGATTTACATTTAAAAAATGCAACACCGATGAAGCACACATAAAAGATATAGTAAGAAAAGCATCAGCAGCCATGGCACAAGTTAAGTTTGGAGAATAGGTGAAAGGAAAGGAGGAGACTTCGACAGGAGAATGATGATGTTTAATTTCATGGTCAAAAGCATACTCTTATACGTAGTAGAAATATGGGGATGAAAAGAATGGAAGGAGTAAAAGCACTTCAAGAAAGATACATAAGATGGATATTAGGCTTAGACAGATGCACGCCAGGCTATATAATCAGAGAGGAAACAAAGATAGAACAAATCAGTATAGAAGCTGGAGGAAGAGCACTAAAATACCAAGAAAAAATAAAAGGAATGACTGACAACAAAATACTGAGAAAATGCAGAAGAGACATCAGCAATATAGAATGGGAGGAGACACAATGGGGCAGAAGGATGCAGACGTTTTACGAGGAGGGCGGATTAAACAAGTGGACAAGAGAAGCAAGGGAGGAACAGGGAAAAGACACGATAGAAGAGGGGACAACCAACTACAAAGAGAAAAAATTGGAAGAGAGAGGAAAGAAGATGGAGAGATCAAAATCAACGAAAGAATACAACAGGTGGAAAACAAGTGAAAGAGCCGAAATATTTGGAGTGGAAAGGAAAAGGCACAAAGATGAAAACAATTGCAAGATTCAGATGCGGAAACGAATGGAAAGGTAATAGATACTGGGAGGAAGAATGCAAGAAAATGTGCAGGTTGTGTGAAGAAAGAGAGGAATCCTGGCACCATATACTAATAAGAGAATGTCCAGAATCAAAAGCAGCCAATCCGAGCGAAGAATTTATAATGGCAGAAGACGGAAAAGGAATAGAATGGATGCTGAAGTTGTGCAATAAAAAGAAAGAGAGAGAAAAATTGAGGAGACAAGAAATAAGGGTATAAATTAATATAGAAAAGGTGCAGAAATATACAGAACATGTACCCCGAAATGGGAATCATTATCCTAAATAAAAAAAAAACAATTAACAGTATATATAGGTAGTAAACATTTAAAGAAAAATATGCTTAATTATATTAAAAAAAATTAATATTAATACATTTAAATTTTTTATAATTTGACACTGCATATATGTATAATTATTTATATACTTATTAATGATTATGGCATATAATAATTATTTAATTCGAGATCTAGCGTATCATGATTGCAACGATGTATATAATATTTCTGTGTTGATTACATTTATTTGGTAAATGTTTATAACATATGTATAAAATCTCGTGTAAATAGTAACTCGATAAAATTTAAAAAAGCAAAATTTTCTTACTAATTTGATTAAGCAGAATGCGACAATATCGTTCTGAAATACGTAGTAGTTAAGAAAATCTAGTTCAGAACGTATTCTTTAGTTTTAATTATAGATTTTATTATAAACTTTGCAAGAAATTTAAATATATAGGCAAAATAAAATAATACGATAATTAATAATTATTAATTTAAAATTGTTTTAGATCACGATATTGAATATACGGATAAATAAAGAAGCGACGCAATTACACCGCGATGCTATCACGAGGAAAGGCTTTCGTTATCGTGATATTTTCTCTGCGGGGGAGGGTTTATAATTTTTCCAACTCTTTGTCAAGACCCACGAACATAGATCTTTACGTAATGTGTTGACTATGATTCTCACGGTATTTGCGCAATTGATGAAGCCTGATAAACGATAATAGATATCAGCGACGGGCACAAACAGACGTAGGCTCATAAAAACTTTCAAGGTGCACTACACACCCACATACTTAAAGAGATTATTATTCTATATTTCTATGCACCAATGATTCTGTATATAAGCTGAGCAATCACCGAACTGATTCAGTTTGAATTTTACTGAGCTGACTACAGGTGAGGATACGAAAGCTTCATCTCTATTAGTTTAAAAGTATTTTTTTACTTTCTCAATAGTTCTACATATATACTTTATAAAACAGGAAATCTCTCAAGCAATTAATCGAAATGGGAAAATTCATCGTGCTTCTTTGCTTTACGCTTCTCGCAATAACTTCGGTCATGGGCTGCAAACCACCCGGGCAACCCGTAAGTACCATTGCATGATATTATGTTTTGAACTGTAATATATGTGTATCTCCAAATTTTTTATTAATTCATATATTTGTTTCGTAAAAACCATAAAATTAATTAATATAACTTTATAGTATACTTTTTAAAAATATGATGGATTCTCTATATGTAATTTATAGAAATTACATAAATTGAAAATTTGACAAATGTAGTGAGATTTTTATACTTGATTGTTATTTATATATTATATATTTATGTATATGTATACATATACATAATATTTTAATCCGGTGTATTAAACATGTTTTCTGTATGTAAGGAACACGTTTCATCTCTTTCCTCCAAGTTATACACAATTAAGCAGAATAAAGAAAGAGTTATATAAAAGAAAAAAAATATATTGCTGTATAAAGTGTCATATTTTGAATATTTTAAGTAGTGAGTAATGACAAGATTTGAGTGTTGATTACAATTTTATAAATGTGATAATACGGATTAAGTCAAAAGTGACGAAAGTGCATTGAGTTTAAGTTTAAATAATTAAGTTATGTAATACGACAGACATCGTGCAAGATAATCTTGCGTAATCTTTTTTCAGTGCAGCTCTGATGCTGATTGTTGCGCGGAATTTGTGTGTAATCCATGGGCTGGTCGTTGCACCAAAGGACCACCGGGCACAGGCAACGCAAAACCAGGAGGACCATGGGGAGTCGGAGGTCCAGGCACAGACGTAGAATGGCCACAAAATGAACCTACCCCTGCCCAATAATCATAAATGATAGCTCGACCTGGACTTTGTTGCGTAGAACTATGATTTAATCTTGATTGATTTAAAAATATGTGAAAATTTACACAATAATTGGAAATATACACTTGCTTAGTCATTACCCAGCAAAAAACTCTTTATGTCTCAATGACTAAAAACCCTTCTTCAACATTATCAACCAAATTAAAGTTGATTTGTTGAATAGCAAAAATAATTCATTTTATATGATAATATTTTTATAAAAATAAGAACGTACTCTGGTATTTATATTAAAAACAAGTATACATATACATGACGTAAATTATAAAATAAACAACAACGATAATCAACCCGCATGTAATAAATAAATAAAAAATTATATAATAATATTAAATTACAATGTCTTTAGTCTTGTTACTTAAATTATAGATATAATATGGTGACTGTAATTTGCTGCGAGATAAATTTCCTTTTTAGTTTCCGCTGGAATATGCAACTGTTGCAACTAAATAATGTATGTTTGCTTAAAATATTTAGCAATAATTCATCTTATCTTGAATAGCCAGCGGCGATATTTGATTAGAATCGAAAGACAATTAAATTTGAAACGGTATTAAAAAGTGGTGTTATTAAACATTTATTATTAGAAATTATTGTATTTTAAAAATAATAACTTTTACTCTTTTAACAAAAGCTTTTTTACAATTATAATAGTTAATCTCTATATTCTCTGATCAACCTAAATTCATCTAATAAATCCTGTGATAAATTTCTTTAATAAATCCACTATAAGAGATTTATTTAAAAATCTTTTATAGTTGATACAATTTCTTTAATGCAGTTGTTTAATAATGAAATAGAATTGTAATAATGTGACAAAACTATTTATACAATTGCGTTTTATACTTTGATTATTATATTATGTAATTTAATCCTATTTAATATACTGAATATTGCAAAAGATTCTAACGTAGGTACACAAAATGCAAAATAATCCGATTTGCAAATACGGAACTGCAATAAACGTATTTCTTACGGTTGAAATTGATAATTTGGATTAAAAAGATGAGAACTTTGTACGTCTTTGAAAACAAATATTTTCTTTCGTATAGCAAATGACGTAAGCAGTACATTTCCGATATTTTCGATTTACACAAGTGCGATACAAACTATAAATACTCCTCGAAGATAAAAAAATTCGTCAGTTACGATCACATCGTACGATCAGTGTAACCAACTCACTCTCCAAGAACAATTCTTAGTAGGTAAGTTCTTAAATTCATCAAATTTTTAAAAAATAAAGGCTGAGAGTCGCAATTAATAATCAACTATTTTTATAAAACTATCTGTATTATGTTAATAATAAAATATTTCTTATTTTATTAGTTTCGTCATTTAAGATATATTTAAATTTATTATGGTGATTTTTATAGCAATATTATCAAATTATTGTATCGCATGTCCGTTGTAGATATTATATGTAAGAAATAATTACAGAAAATATTGGCAAGATGAAGTTCGTTATTTTCACCATTTTCATTATGATTGCTATGGCTGTGGCATACAAGCGAGGAAAGCATAGTGAAGAATCTTATGAGAGTTATGAAGCATCCTGCGTTTCTTTGAGTCACCCTGTATGTATTTCGATTGCATTTATGTATACAAAAGACAGTTATTTTTATAGTAATGATTATAGACGAAAAAAGAATGAGAGAAATTAAATTATAATTAAGAAATTATAAATTTGTTTTATATTCTACGTATAATTCGTATAAATTTATTATATGTATTAAAAGAAAGAGACCAGATGCTATTTTAAATCTGTGTTGATATATATATATATATATATATATATATATATATCAGCAATATTAACTAATGTTAATTTTTAATATTAAAACATATCTCTAATTATTATATTATAAATATTTTAGTGTAGACAAACTAGTGAGTGCTGTCGCAATCTGAAATGTCAGGAACATGCTAACATATGTGTGCAACAATACCCAAGGTCCAAAGGAGATACAAGACCTCGTGGACGACAAATGCCATATTAATAAGGATTGATATTTCTTTATATCTGACTACGGCACTACTTTTCTTTCATATATATATTATGTGTGTAACAAAGAAGACAGTTTCTATGTTATTTGTAACCTTGTAACCTTAAATAAAGACATTCACAGGAGCTATCAATTTTCTTTGTCTTATTTAATAACAATTAATACTATATATAGGTAGTAAACATTTAAAGAAAAATTTGCTTAATAATATAAAAAAAATTTTAATATCAATACATTTAAATTTTTTATTATTTGCCACTGCATATAAGTATAATTATTTATTTACTTATTAATAATTATGGCATACAATGATTATTTAGTTCCAGATCTAGCGTATCATTATTGCAACGATGTATTATAATATTTCTTTGTTGATTGCATTTATTTTGTAAATGTTTATAACATATGTATAAAATTTCGTAAATAGTAACTCGACAGAATTTATAAAAGCAAAATTTTCTTACTAATTTGATTAAGCAGAATGCGACAATATCGTTCTGAAATACGTAGTTAAGAAAATCTAGTTTACAACGTATTTTTTAGTTTTAATTGTAAATTATTATAAACTTTGCAAGAAATTTAAATATATAGGCAAAATAAAGTACGGTAATTAATCATTATTAATTTAAAATTGTTTTAGATCTATTTCAAGATAACTGCATTATTTAATACATTTTTAGTTTTAGAATTAACCGCTTTTAATATCTATATATTTAAATAAAACAAATAATTACTAAAATCAGCGTAGGTATCGTTTACTCGTCCCAACTGGCCAAGTTTATTTAAAAAACGCGTCAAATAATTACTTTTGAAAGTTATTTCAGCATAATCGTACACAACATCACAAAACTAAGTATAGAAAAGAACAAAAAATGCTTATGGAATTAGTATGTGCGTACTGAACTTCTACACATAATAAGTAATTCTCTCGATAACAATCATAATTAAATTTGCGCAATTGATGAAGCCTGATAAACGATAAATAGATATCAGCGACGGGCATAAACAGGACGTAGGCTGATAAAAATTTTCAAAGTGCACTACAAACCACATACTTAAAGAGATAATCATTCTATATTTCTATGCACCAATGATTCTGTATATAAGCTGAGTGATCACCGAACTGATTCACTTTGAATTTCACTGAGCTGACTACAGGTGAGGATACGAAAGCTTCATCTCTATATAGTTTAAAAGTATTGTTCTACTTTCTCAATAGTTCTACATATACTTTATAAAACAGGAAATCTCTCAAGCAATTAATCGAAATGGGAAAATTCATCGTGCTTCTTTGCTTTATGCTTCTCGCAATGACTTTGGTCATGGCCTGTGTACCACGCGGAGGAATCGTAAGTACCATTGCATGATATTATGCTTTGAACTGTAATATATGTGTATCTCCACATTTTTTATTAATTCATATATTTGTTTCGTAAAAACCATTAAATTAATTAATATAACTTAATAGTATACTTTTTAAAAATATGATGGATTCTATGTGTAATTTATAAAAATGACATAAATTGAAAATTTAACAAATGTAGTAAGATTTTTATACTTGATTGTTATTTATATATAATATATTTATGTTATATATATATATACATAATATTTTAATCCGGTGTATTCAAAATGTTTTCTGTATGTAAGGAACACGTTTCATCTCTTTCCTCCAAGTTATACACAATTAAGCAGAATAAAGAAAGAGTAAAATATATTGTTGTATAAAGTGTCACATTTTGAATATTTTAAGTAGTGAGTAATGACAAGATTTGAGTGTTGATTACAGGGAATAATTTTATAAATGTGTGGATAATATACGGATTAAGTCAGAAGTGACGAAAATGCATTGAGTTTAAATTTAAATAATTAAGTTATGTAATACAAAAGACATCGTGCAAGATAATAATCTCATGTAATCTTTTTCAGTGCGCGATTAGCGCTCAGTGTTGCGGACATTTCGTGTGTAATAAATATACTCTTCGTTGCACCGAAGGAGGCCCACATGAACCTGCCCCTGCTCAATAATCATAAATGGTATAGCTCGACCTGGACTTTGTTGTGTAGAACTATGATTCAATATTGATTGATTTAAAAATATGTGAAAATTTACTCAATAATTGGAAATATACACTTGCTTAGTCATTACCCAACAATATACTCTTTATGTCTCAATGACTAAGAACCCTTCTTCAACATTATCAACCAAATTGAAGTCGATTTGTTGAACAGCAAAAATATTTCATTTTATACGATAATATTTTTATAAAAATAAGAACGTACTCTGGTATTTATATTAAAAACAAATATACATATACATGACGTAAATTATAAAATAAACAACTACGATAATTAACCCATGTAATAAATAAATCAAAATTATATAATAATATTAAATTACGATGTCTGGAGTCTTGTTACTTAAATTATATAATATACTGACTCGAGATACAACGGTAGATATAAGGACATAATGGCGCAGAAGGAGCCAAAATATTTGAGAGAAAAAGGGCACAAAGAGAGCTAAAAGTTGATTGCGAGATAGAGGTGTGGAAACGAAGAGGAAAGAAACAGATTCTGGGCGACGGCGGAAAGAAGAAAATGTCAGTTTGTGAAGAAGAAGAAGGAACGATTGAGCATATACTGACACATGTAGATAGAGAGAGTAGGATTAGAGTGAGGGATTTTTTAGGAGAAAAAGGAAAGTTAGCGAATGTGAAATGTATGAAAGAATTAGGAAAAATAAGAGAGAATAAGAGAAAAAAAAAGAAATGGATGAAGGAGTGAATGTAAAGTAACGAATTTTAAACCAAGTCCCGAGTTTTAGGCTGGAAGGCTGAACCAAATAATGTATTATTATTATTATATATGGTGACTGTAATTTGCTGCGAGATAAATTTCCTTTTTAGTTTCCGTTGGAATGTGCAACTGCTGCAATTGAATAATGTATGTTTGCTTAAAATATTTAGCAATAATTCATCTTATCTTAAATAGCCAACGGCGATATTTAATTAGAATCAAAAAACAATTAAAATTGAAACGGTATTATTAAACATTTATTATTAGAAATTATTATATTTTAAAAATAATAACTTTTACTCTTTTAATAAAAACTTTTTCACAATTATAATATTAATCTCTATATTCTCTGATCAACCTAAATTCCTCTAATAAATCCTCTGATAAATTTCTTTAATAAATCCACTATAAGAAATTTATTTAAAAATCTTTTATAGTTGATACAATTTCTTTAATGCAGTTGTTTAATAATGAAATAAAATTGTAATAATGTGGCAAAATTATTTATACAAATGTGTTTTATACTTTGATTATTATATTATGTATTTAATCCTATTTAATATACTGAATATTGCAGAAGATTCTAACGTAGGTACACAAAATGCAAAATACTCCGATCTGCAAATACGGAACTGCAATAAATGTACTTCTTAGTGCATACAAGACCTCATGGACGACAAATGCCATACTGATAAGAATTGATATTTATTTATATCTGACTACGACACTACTTTTCTTTCATATATATATGTGTAAAAAAGAAGACAATTTCTATATTATATGTAACCTTAAATAAAGACATTCACAAGAGCTATCAATGTTCGTTCTTATTTAATAACAATTAACACTGTATACAGGTAGTAAACATTTAAAGAAAAATATGCTTAATAATATAAAAAAAATTTTAATATCAATACATTAAAATTTTTTATAATTTGCCACTGCATATGTGTAGAATTATTTATTTACTTATTGATGATTATGGCATATAATGATTATTTAATTCGAGATCTAGCGGATCATGATTGCAACGATGTATATAATATTTCTGTGTTGATTGCATTTATTTTGTAAATGTTTATAACATATGTATAAAATCTCGTGTAAATAGTAACTCGACAGAACTTAAAAAAGCAAAATTTTCTTATTAATTTAATTAAGCAGAATGCGACAATATCGTAGTTAAGAAAATCTAGTTTAAAACGTATTTTTTAGTTTTAATTATAAATTATAATTATAAATTATTATAAACTTTGCAAGAAATTTAAATATATAAGCAAAATAAAGTAATACAATAATTAATAATTATTAATTTAAAATTGTTTTAGATCTATTTCAAGATAACTGCATTATTTAATATATTTTTAGTTTTAGAATTAACCGTTTTTAACATCTATATATTTAAATAAAACAAATAATTACTTTTGAAAGTTACTTCAGCATAATCGTACATATAACATCACAAAACTAAGTATAGGAAAGTACAAAAAATGCTTACGGAATTAGTATGTGCGTACCAAACTTCTACACATAATAATTAATTCTCTCGATAACAATCACAATTAAGAAATTATTATTAAAATTATTATACTTCGAAAATAACATTAATTTTTTAAGATGTTTTTTAAGACTATAATCTTGAAAAAGATTATGATAGCTAACTCCTATTTTGATACTTCTAAATGTTTATAACAGATTTATCAAAAAATCTTTAGTTAATACAATTTTCTCAATGCAGTTGTTTAATAATAAAATAGATTTGTAATAATGTGACAAAACAGTTTATACAATTGAATTTTATAACTTAATTATTATGTTAATTGTTATGTAATTTAATCCTACAGAATATATCGAACATTGTAAAACGTTCTGACGTCAATAAAATGCAAAATACTCCGATCTGCAAAATACGGAACTGATGAAATATGAACCTCTTACGGTTATGACTAATAATTAGTATTAAAGAGGCAAGAATGTAACTTCAGTTTGCCTATATAAACAGATGTCTCCTTTCATATAGTAGCTACGTAATATATTTTTGATATCTTCAATTTGCACAAGTGCGATATAAAGTATAAATACTCTTTGAAGAACAAATTATCTGTCAGTTGCGATCATATCGTATAACTTACATAACGAATTTGCTCTCAAAGATAAACGGTAAGTTCATATCTAATTTATTTATCTAATTTCTTAAATAAAGATTAAAAATCCAAATTAGCAATAAACTATTTCTATAAAACTATTTGTTTTATATTAATAATAAAATATTTTATGCAACACGTGCATGGAAAGTGCCCCATTACGCACGCTACGCGTGCGTGATAGACCACTTTCCAGGCACTTGCAACGTAAAATAGGGTGTGTAAGCCGTGCGTAAAGATGAAAATTCCCGGGTGTGGTTACCGCACTTGCCTTTGGCTCGTGCGTAAACTCCGCACCCGGGAATTTTCATCTTAATGCACTTGTTACACAAATAACTATTTCTTATATTATTATTTAGAAAATAAATTTTAGCAATCTCAAAAAATATATGTTTACGTGAAGTTAATTAATATCGTAATTTTTATAAAAAAATATTATTATATTATTATATTGCATGCGTGTACCGAGTTGTAGATATTATAAGAAATAATAATTACAGAAAATATTGGCAAAATGAAGTTCATTATTTTCACTGTTTTTGTCATGATTGCTATAACTCTGGTTGCTTCTGAAGAAGAAACATGTAGTCCTTGGCTTGGTTTAGTAAGTATTATAAAGACAGCCGAAAAAAATGCGTGAGAGAAAACACAGATTAAAATTAAGAAATTTTTAATTTATGTTTCGTTTTTTGTATAATTCACATAAACTTATGTATATTAAGACAATGTTTTAAACCTGCTGATTTGTCGGCAATATTACTTTTTAATATTGAAACATATCTCTAATTATTATATTACAAATACTCTAGTGTCGCCAATATGATGACTGCTGTCGTTATTTGATATGTTCGACCTATCAGGCCAAATGTGTACCTAAAGGCGGTCTGATTATACCTGGACAAGATAAAAGACCTCTTGGCCCTGGACCATATCCACCAAATATACCACCAGAATACTTACAGTAATATCGCTTAACACTTCTTTATATCGACCATATAATGCTATTTTTCTCCCATATAATTATAAAAAAAAGAGCATTCTATATTATATATAACTTTAAATAAAGAGCTATCAATATTCCTTGTTTTATTTATTAATAATTATGTGTATATGTAATGTATATTTATAACCGAACATGTTTAACAACTATATAAGAATTTTTTAATATCAACATATTTAAATTTGTATTGGTATTGTATGCATATGGGATTATTTATTTATTAATACAATCGTGAAACAATAATTATCACTCAATTCTATCGTATCATGATAGCAATGATGCATATAATATTTCTATGTCAATTGCATTTATTTTGTACATATAAAATATTATTTTTAACCCTTATTTGCCACACTGGGATCAAATCAACCCCACGACTATATACTCTTAATTTTAAGTACCGAAACCTATGGAAAGCGGGTCTATAGCGACATCTGTTAATAGTTTGAGCAATGAATTTTTTTGTAAAAACAGCCATTTTTTTATTTTTCTTTTGCTATTTTAATTTTTGTATCATACATAACTTTAATTTTTGGCTATATAACCTACATAACTTTTAAAAGTAAGCTTTTAAGAAGTTCTAAAAAAATTGGCAAGTTAAAATATTGAATAGCTTATTTGTTATAACAATTTTTGTCGCTGAGGTAGATTCCACCACAATGTGGCAAGTACGTGACGTCTACAGAAGTGTGGCAAGTAAGGGTTAATAATTAAGGCAATTAAAGAAGTATCTGATTTTCTTCAAAATTTGATTAAGTAAAAAGATAATAAAATAAATAACGTCATTTTGAAATAATTACATATTCAGAAAATCTAATTTAGAATGTATTCTTAATTTTCATTGTAGGTAATTATAAATTTTTCAAAAAATTTAGATATACTTATATTCAAAATATAAAATAATATGATGATGATTAAATTAGAATTGCTTTAAATTTATTTCAAGCTTGTCGTTTAATATACTTTTTTGGTTTTAAAACTAGCTGTTTTTAATATACATTTAATAATTATTTTTGGAAAAAAAAACTAGCGTAATCGTACATTTTACCTCAGTAGTATCAAAAGCAAGTAAAAGAAAATAAAAAAGGCTTATAGAATTACTACGTACATACTAAAACTGTACTTACACAATCATTAATTCTTCGATAATATAATGGTTAAAACGAATTAGACGACCGCGCCATTATTATTTGGAGGGATTATTGTAAATATATCTGCGGGCATAATCGGATGTGCTTGAAATTTAATATCTATTATTATGCTATAGTTTCTACCATGAATGCTATGTTTAGTTGTTTTAGATGCATAATTAAATATACATTAATTAAACAACGAGATAATGTGTATGTAAAAAGGTCGATGTGTGTGTATTATTCCTAGCACTTTATAAATACAGAATTAAAATTAGATAAAAAATATTAGGTTACAAATAAAACTTAATTTCACTTTTCATGTAAAATATATGTACATGAATTTATTTATATATTAACCGATAAAAAAATTGCATTAATTTCTATTTTATTTTTGTATAAACAGCATAATATTATAAATGTTACATCAAGTGTACACACGCAGTGACTTGACGTGTTGGTATTTCGCTTCTTAGCGCATTATATTATTAAATAGTCGATCCACATGATCGCAAACGTCACTTAATTACAGAGCAATTGGCCAACTATTACATTTAGTCGACAAACAAAAGTAACATGGCTGTGTAAAACTCTATAAATGTTACACAAAACATGTGTTCATGGACAATATAAATGCAATATAAATGAGCATGATATTTAATAATATAGAAATAATTGGTATTATGTTGCACTTTGTTAAACTGGATCTGACATACGCACGTACTCTTTATACGTTTATATTTTCACCAATTAAATGCAAATTCTCGGGTATTTATATTGTTCCGTATTAATTTTCAACAATATGTATACAGTCAAAATCGGTAACGCGTTTTGCATTACTGGTATAGAATAAAAGCTGCTTATATTTTCTAGTTGCTTTACTCCCTTATCTGCGAATTGATTATAGATGTTTATTTTTTTATTATCAGTATCAGTTGTAAGTAGTAGCGTGATCGTAAGTGCGAGACAATATACTTCTTCTCGAGATTATAAATTTAGACACCGAAAATTTTTGATTCGAGATTTAAATTTTTCCTAAACAAACAAAGCGCATGCAAACCCGTCTTGTTTCTTGAACATCTTTTATACGTAAACGTAAATATACATCGAAAACTCTGAAATGGCAACGATACTCGAACACGGCGGTAAATCCGTGAAACGCGACTGTCGTTTAAAAGCGTCAAGTGTGCTGCCACGGATATATTAAAAAAAAAAAAGGTTAATTCGGCTCATGATGTGTCGAAGCTTCGCCGATGACAGGAAAAAAACCCCCGACTATTTCTATTCAGCTACTATGGGCGAACAAAAGGACAATGCTACCGGATGATTCAGTTTCCTTTCCTGTTGTTTCCTGTCAACCGAATTAAAGAACAAGAGCGCTTTGTCGGAGAATCAATGGAATGCACGAGGCGCGCAATATGCACTCGATAGAATGCCGGCGCAAAGGGCAAAAAGCACTTGTGCATTCGATACTGCTGAAATGGGAAGAGAATATCAGCGGAAGGCGCGTCTCTTTTTGCATTCTCATATTCCCGCGTACGCGCGCCTATAAGGTGATCAATAATAACCAAAATCCGCAAAAAAAAAACAATTTGTCCCGCGAATGTTGAGCTGAAGATTGACGTAACAGACGGCTACAGCGTACGATTTACTTCCGCAGTAAAGCGTTTATTAACTCCACGAGCATTCAAGGCGGCGTCGCAGCTGCTCGTGTTATAACATTGAAATATAAGCGATGTGTGAGCTTTGAGAACATCAATTTTTCTTAACGGAATTAAGAATTTTAAATGCAAGAAAGTCCCGTTACTCGAATAATATGTCTTACTATTTGTATACATACACAGTTTTTGTATACATAGGACGTTTCAGAAATCACGTACACTTAACATACAAATTATATTTAGATAAGATAGGGATATTTTCCCTAGGATTATTTTCCATAAAATATCCTTATCTTACCTAAAGGGAAATATCCTTATCTTATCTAAAGGTAACGTGCATACATATGTGAATATTAAGACAATTTCGAATAAAACGTGTTAAGAAAAATTAATTAATCTTCTCAATGCTGCCAAGTTAATCGCTTATATTTCAAAGTTAACTAGCTAATGTCAAGAAGACGACGAATGACGGAAATCCCGAATGCATTTGAAATTACATCATGTAAGATTGTACATTATTTTTTATGTAGAGCACTTTTATTTTGTTGTAAAACGTAATCACTGCTGACAGAGCATAATCTAACCTGACCCTCTTTTCTTAGAATAGATACTGGAAGAGTTAAATAAATCTTAAGTGCCGCACATAAAGATGCAACATTAATACTTTCGAAGAATTTGTTTTTAAAAATCTAGCATACTTAGAACATTTTTTTATAACACAATAGCTAACATGAGAAATTAAGTACATTTGTAAGTAATATCGCGGAATGTAAATAAAATGTCAAATAAAGAAAAAGAAACTTTTGTTACAATAATATATAGAATATATGCGATGTACATATGCATATACGTATGTAAAAACATATGTAAAGGCAAAAATGTAATTGTAGACAATACATCGTGCTACGTAAGCAAAAGAATGTATTATTTCCGAGATTATTTCTCTCTAATTGGTCATGCGTCATCAGATACGTATATTGAAACCTTTACTTGTGTGAGTTCGTAGTCGTATAAATGCTTTGACCGCGTTGCAACACAAAGTATCTCAGTCGAGGTTAAGCTCTCAAGACGATCAGATCTGAAGAAGAATTCTTGTCGAACCGTTTGGTGAGTAATTTCCAATACGAGTTATAATGCATCTACTTCAAAATCTGTCACGTCTGATATTCTTCACAAAATTTATGATATCGAATAATTGACAATGTTGGATAAATAAAATAATAAGTCGCGTGTGTAACAAAATTAATACTTATTGTAAAATTATTTATATAAATTGTTTTCTGTGTACTATATAGCCATTAGAAGATTAATGATAAATTTTAGTAAAATCACAATTAATAATTCAAAAAGTTGAAAAGTTTAGAAAACAAAAAAAATGTATAATGTATAAACAGTTTTTGTTTTTGTGATATTAAATACATTACGTAGAGATAGTAGACACATAACATTACAAAATTTAATTGTAAGTGATTTTTTAATAATTTGTTGTTGCTATGCCATTAGATATTGCAGATTCGACATGTGTAATATTCACTCACATGTTTAAATAATTGTACAGTTTTGTAGTCAACAGTATATTAGGAACATATTCATAAGCGAGTAATGACATCAATTGTAAGATACAATTCTAGAGTTTAACGGTTATTTTGCCTATTAAAGAGCTAAACTGAGTCAGACCTTGATGATTCATTCACATATACCTGTAACCTGCTGAGCTAGTATAAAACTCATGGTCACATTATATAAACTTTGGTAACGCGTCACGCACAAATTAGAAATTTAAATTGAAAATTATTTACATAGAATAACAAATAAGATGTTCCATATTCCAATACAATTAAAATAATTTTAAGTAACTAAAAATAATTTTAAATAAATATTGAACGCCGATTTAGGACGTTTTTATTACTTTCCCATCTGAATCTAATTCGCTAAAATTATTTCATTGCAGAATACAACGTTGCTGAGAAGATGGCAAAATTAATGCTGTACGTCTTTATAACGTTGCTATCTGTCACTCTTATCATGGCCGCTACTATAAGCCCAACCGATAAGCCCAACTGCGGTCGACACGGTGACCCTGTTAGTATACGTATTCTTGCATCTTATATTTTTCTGATAAAGCCACTTTTTCTTTCATCCTTGTTTCTTAAAATATACGCAATACTGCTATAATCAACGAGGAAAATAAGGAAACAGTTCTAAGCCTACGATTTTGTTACTCCGTAACGGAATTCTAAACAATTTATACGATTATTTGCACGAGAAATTACCCCAAAAGCGCATGATTACTAAATCAAGAAATTTTATTCTAATATTTAAAAAAAATGCACGCATAATTTTAGTAGTAGGTAATACTGCAAGTATGGAATTCATACAGAATAGTGTAAAATGTATCTTCATATTCTTCTTCAAAATTTATATTTTTCCAACTTTTTTAATAAATTGTCTCGACTCGATATTTTTAATTTGCGTATTGTTATATGGAGTGTTTAGTAAATCTATATTATTGGCAAGCAGATAATTCGTCGTGAAAAAGCAAGTAAAAAATGACAAATAATTTTTTATTATTAAAAAGCTTTTATTCCACATGCTTCATGTTTCGCTTGTTTTTTCACAAGAAACCTGTTCGCCGGCTGTGCAATGTTATTATTTACTGAAAATTCTGGACATATATACATATATATCTTTTCTTCACATGTAAATATTTTCTTAAAACTGATTTGATATGTTATTTGTTACCGTTCAGATTTACAGAGTTATTAATACTTTTCATCATTTCAGTTTAAATTGAATTGATGTGACAAATAATAGATTGTTTATCGAATTTCAGTGCGTTTCTGCTTCGCAATGCTGCAGCAATATGAGATGTCACCGTTACGCAAATAGATGTCAAGTCATAATTACCGAGGAAGAATTAATGGCACAACGTGAGAAGATTTTGGGCCGAAGAGGCAAAGATTATTAGAATGGTTAAGTTTTCTATACCTCGGAATATTATAATGGACGATGATCTTATTAATTTACCATGACTCTGATCTAAAAACTGTGTTTTGAGAAATTAAATATTAATATACAATACTGAATTTCTGTAATAATCAGAAAATTAATATAATACATATTATATATATTATACATTGTATATAGTATAATCATATAGAGATAAGCAATATCTTTTTATGAAAAATGAGAATAAAAACGTAAACCGAAAGTATTTATCTTATCTATCATGATTCTTTTTCACAGAATATGGCGCACGTAAACGGAAAACAAATTGACGTCGAAAGTAAATAACAAAACATTTATCCTGTCGTTTATTCCGTTATTTTATTAATTTACGTCGACTAATAATTACAAGAACTTTTCAAAATACATTAGTCGCTGACGTTATCGGATTTCTTAGCGACAAACTATAATGCGCACTTCAAAAGGACTTGTCGACGTAGGATGATAAAAAAAGGACACTCCAGGATTGCCAAGTGACGAAAATTTTGTGCGGATAGATCCGTCGCGACGATCCCCCTCGGCTTTGTCCGCTCTGTGCACCTCTCCACGCGTGTGTCCCGTCTGTTATATTCGAGGACATTTAAATTCACTATCTCCTATCTCGGTTTACCGTACACTCGTTAAAAGGCGAGCCTTTGTTCGATAAAAAGACTCCGTCGGTGTATCCGCGGAACGGAGTAAAAATCCCACCGGACTCGATATGTTACGTGGCGTGCGAAGGACAGGTGCGCGGGGGGCCCGTTGGGGTGGTTTAATAGCATCGACTTATCTTTCGATAAGCCCGTACCAGAAACCCGCCATATGGCCGATTCGGAATCGCTCGTAAACGATTTCTTTCCACGTCTCCAGATTACGATGGATAAGTTAATGACACATAAAGGTATATTGTCATGGTTGCCGTATCGGAGCTCCAAATCCCCCGGGTTCGTTCCGATATCTCGCATGTATTCTCCGCGATTTATTGAAAATAATGGCGCCTTACAAAATGACGCCTAGGAAGATTGAATATTTCACGGGACAATTTATCGAGTACTTAACTTGATCGGCGCTAATAAGAGTTTGCGAAATTTCGCGTAAGTTTCTCTCTGTAATATTCCTGCCGTGAAATATATTTCATCGACGCGGGGCCGAGGCCTTTGTAAATTTGAAAAGTAGGTGGACTTTGATTCAAAGACCAAAAGCTTCTTCGGTTCGTTATACAAAATTTCCGCCGTGTTCCAATCTCATTAGCGCCGGCTTAAAGTTAAGCGCCCCAACTCTTTTGCGCCGGACCGCACATGCTCTTTGACCATCGTAGTGTTTTAACAAAAATCTAATCTTCTTGACAAATTAAAGACAGACGTACACACGTATCTTTAATCAATAAGAAAGGAGACATATCGGACAATCGTTCCGCAAAAAGAATGTGCGTGTTGCTTGAAATTTGTTCATAATCTTGTTGCTTCATGCGAGTTTGCTACTTCCGATTAAATTTATACTTTTTGATTTTGTTACCTCCGACTTTTAAAACTACTATTTGTTTATTGCCGTAATATTTTACAATTATTGATCACCCCCGTAACTCTGAAGCTTGTAATGGGCAAATAACTTGCTCGCGTTTCACATTTTAATTTTCGTAAATCTACGCCTGTTGCGATATCGATAAAGCAAAAGAGTTCTACACACATATAATCGCTTGCAAGTAAAGACGTCACCTTGCAAATATTTGCTCGCTATCCCTTATCGTCCCCGGCTTAATTGCCATATGGCGTACGATCATATTTCATGCGCGCGTTTTTTGTCTTAGATATATATGTCTTGCACGTATGCAACTCGCAAATATTTTCTCACCTACAATGATCAATACGCGTACTTTCATCAATCAAATAAATATTTTAGCATAATATCGTAATCGATTGATCGAAGGTATGTCGAGGAATTGCGCACGTTTATTTATTTTTCGAAAAGAGTTGTGTATAGCCGTCTGGATTGGCGGAATCCTCTTACGCACCGAATCCGGTTACGCGATGTACTTGGCGCTCGAAAAGAGAAAGCGCACGAGATGAGCACCATTCGAAGTAAATGTCAAGGCCGCGCCGCAAGGACGGGTCGGCGGCAGCCGCGCAAAATCCTAGTGACGAAAGCCGTGCTCCACCAGAAAGGAAAAAAAAAGAAAAAGAAGGCAAAGAAAGATGTACGAAGAGAGTACCAAAGGCAAACGGCAAGCCGAGGCGAGTCCTCGACTCGAGTCGAGTGTCTCTTATCGTAGTTCCTTTTAAGTTCTTATCCGGTGAGGTATGCCACGCAGAGCGGGTCCTCCAGCCTACTTTTAAGCACGTTTCCGCGTCGGATGCTAGAAGATTATGGCGAGCGAAGTATAATAACGGCACGAGAGAGAATGAAGATCGAAGATACAAGCGCCGCAGTGAGAAAGAAAGAGGAAGGGAGAAACAGAGAGAAAGAGAGAGAGAGAGAGAGGGGGAAAGATAAAGGATTGTCCAACCTGTCCCATTCTCGAGCAAGATCAGCTGCGAGCTCACAAGAAGCGAGGTAATGCCGGCGGCGTGCCGCGAACATACGCGGTCGCCACAATATGAAAACATTATCGGCCGTAAGCCGGAAGGTACACAGCAATGTGCTGAGCTTAGCTCCGCAGCCCCGGCTCTGCCTGCAACGCGATCTCTCACTACCGCGGTGCAGTGCCACGTCAGGACGTCAGGATTTCAGGTAGGTACTTGTCCGCCGGATTCGCATGGCCCAAAAGCGCTCCCGGGCTACGGAGTTAGGGAGGGCACCGGAGCCGATTTGCAAAAGGAAGGAACGGGGTAGGAGATAGGCTGCAGCGTACCAGGCATGCATGCTGCATGCACTCCGCCCCAAATCCTCCGGACGGATCCGCCGGAAGAGCGTTAATGAAACTGTCGCCAGATTACTATTCGCCCGGCGCTACTTTTCTGATGGCGCTTTCGAGGACGCTCGAGGACTCGGTCGCTCGTCTTGTCCGACATGAACGGCTCTAGGTTTAGGAGGATTTGGAGCCGACGAGATGGGAGATATATTCCGCAGATGACATTCGCGCCGTAGTTCGAAAATTACCGTTCATCTTGTCATTTCGTTCGACGCGCGGGCAAAAAGAGCGTTTAAAAGCGTACGCTTTGTCAGGCACGGCCGTGGGCATCGGGGACGCGCCTAGTGATTTTCCGTTATCGGGCTGATCCGACGAGTGGCGGGAGGGGGACGGAGGAGGGAGAAGGGGGAGGTAAAGTGTGACGGTGACGAGGACAGGTCGGTGTTGAGGAGAATGCGAATACCGAGGCGACGCGGACGGCGCACCGACACGTACAACGATACAAACACCCCGGCTACTTAGAGACGAGGGAAATGGGACTAGCCATTTGGGGCAAACTACCCCTAGGCTAGCTCACGCGACCGATCTTATCGTCGGCTCAGCCTGGGCTCTCGCCTCGAACGTACATCGCGCGGACATGTACACGTGACGGTCTACCACATGCACGGAAGCGGAATCCGCCTCGGCTATCTTGCCGCGGAATTGATTTCTTGCATTCGTTATTTCCTTGGGACTCAGCTAAGTACATATATACATATATGTTGTTTTTTTTTCACTTCGACGAATCGTGGCGATTAAGCGCACATTGAAATATTCATAAAGATACTATCGCCACTACCCACATCGGGAAAAACGAGCTTGAAATCAAGACGAGCGTTATCGCACGCGCAAGATCCACCGAGTCGCCCCGTTATCCCTTTGTAATAAAGTTTCTCTAGATCAATAAAATTTTATACAAGAGCTCAATATCAATAACAAGAAAATTTCTTAATAACATTTTGCCTTTTTATCTAACTTTTTTCTCTCGCAAAAAATATCCATTTACAGTGATTATAACAAAATCGATAAAATTTTATACAAGATCTCAATATTAATAGCAGGAAAAAATTTTTAATAATATTTTGCCTCTTTACCTAATCTTTTTCCTCTTGCAAAAAAAATATTATCCATTTATAGTGATTATAGTAAAATCGATTGACCTGGATTGTATATAAAATAGTCAACCAAAGAAAAAGGAATATAAGAGCAAGCTCTCTCTTGTTATATAGTATTGTATTTTGAAATTGTATTGACTGAACGTCAATGACCCGAAAAATATATTGTTTTGCGTTGACCTAGTTCATCGAAATATTGATACATGCCTATCTGAATCGTGGCGGTTCGATTGGACAAATTGTTCTAGAATCACGATCATCGTTCAACTTGCACCACATCGCGCGTTAGCCAACAACTTCTCGACTGCCGCTTATTATTTGTCGGTTTCTATCCTGATCAAACCGCGATATCGCCGAGAGGGTCCGAGACTCCTTTGCAACTTGAGAGCGTGGCGCTTACACAATCATACCGGGGCATTTCGCTGAGATCCTTCGGATTACACGGGGTCGGTCTTGCGAGTAACTCAAGTCGAACTTAACAGTCGGTTAAGTCCGCGGATAGTTCAGACCGTTTGGCTAGTCCGGTTCGTACGGAGGGCATGAAGTCCGAGAACTGTAAGCCACTACGTAACCCCGGCGGCCATGGGGGGGTTCGGCCGAGGTCATGGAGACGTGCCAGTCTTATCTCGATTTGCATAAATTCATAGTTTGCGGCTTAGGCCCTAGGAACTAAGGATACCGGGCGTAAACCTCGATTACCTTATGCCGCGTCATCAAACTTTCAATTCCTTCGGCGTCTTGTTTCCAATTAGTGCGTGATCGTACTTGAGATCTCACCCTGATCAAAGTAAAATTATTCGATCTAAGATTATTCATGAATAACACGGTTCTCCTTATAAATATTTCTTCTTATATACGTTAGCGCAGGTCGATCTTTCCCGTCTCGCAAATAACGCGAATAATGCAGCGCCGCTCAAATTTATTAAAACACATTGCGATATGTTCCAACAACATTTTTTATACACACTATTGATTTACTAACGAGTGTTAGCTATCATTCGCTTTTAGCAACGCGAAAGCCTCGCTTTAGGGCAATTATAGCTCGCGGAAGCAGCGGCGCTGCTTCAAATAAAGGGCATTTGGCATTTTTGACGTGCGCTCGTCGACATGATGAAGGCCTCCGGGCGCGCGAGTATAAG